TTAACTTAAGGGGGCTGAATAATTTTGCACGCCCAATTTTTCAGTTTTTTTATTTGTTAAAAAAGTTTGAAATATCCAATAAATTTCGTTCCACTTCATGATTGTGTCCCACTTGTTGTTGATTCTTCACAAAAAATTACAGTTTTATATCTTTATGTTTGAAGCCTGAAATGTGGCTAAAGGTCGCAAAGTTCAAGGGGGCCGAATACTTTCGCAAGGCACTGTAATTACCCTTCTCAAACTGAAGTAAACTCTAGCTGTTGTGAAGCAGAGGGACAGAAATCGTGCAGCTTCTAGAGCAGCAACAAACGTTTTCTTCTTGTTTAGGATGTTCTCTGCTCTCTGTTCTCTTGAGCTCACTTTGAAGCAACTTACTCTCCTCTTCTGTGTAGAATGTTTGTATGTACAGAAGTGCATGTGTGTACAGGATGTGCAAAGCAATCTATGAGTTGTGGGATTATAAAAAAAGATCATAAGAAAGGAGAATAAACTGGGACTAATAGCTTTTCACACTAAAGACAATATGAATAGAAATCCATATTATTAATATTTCAAACCTTAAATAGCTCGTTGGTTAATTAATGATTCACTAGAATTGACTATGTGCATAGTCAGTTACCCCTTTACTCCAATAACTGTGTTGTATTCATAATGGTGAAAGAAATCTTACGCCCATCCATGGCGATGACTTTCATGGTGTATGTGCTATTCTCCTCTCGGTCCAAGGCATGTACAGTCTTTAGTTCACCAGAGTATTTCCCTATTGAAAAGTACTTCTTGGTGTCCCCTTGAAGAGAATATCTGCATTAAAAAAATGTGCATTTCTGTAAATTTACAACTCTGATACTTCATGCCTCTGTCTTCCTGAACTGTTGAAGTAGATGATTATTCACATAGCATTCATTAATCCAGAGGTTTACCTGATTGGGTGAGAATCAGGGTCATAACCGCGAATTGTGGCAATAACGCGTCCTGGTTCCTCACCCTCTCTGACGGTAACCTCATAGTGGCTTTGAGACAGGATTGGACCCTCGTTCACATCGTCAACATAAATAGAGACTGTTGCTGTGGATGCAGGTCCATATCGGCCACGTACCAGAGCCACTGGATTCTGAGCGCTGAGTACTAGGATGTACTCGCTGTCACGCTCAAAGTCCAACACCTGTGAAACCATACATATAAACACAGAGGGATGCAGAGAGAAAATATACAATGTCTCTAAAGATTACTGGTGATGTGATCTAAATCACAGTAATAACATCCATAGTTTTGTTGAGCTTGAACATGAATGGAACAAAGTGAATGAATTGTATTAGGGCCAGTTCACCTAAACTGCAGAAAATGTGAGCATGAATGGTATTTTAGTACACACCAAGAACCAGTGACCAGTATTGGGTGCCCAAAGTTCATTGATGTGTGAGGGCAATAAAAAGGCTACCCCTTCTGGTCCAAACTGGCAGAAGAGTTACTGTGGCATGTAAATTTTAAGGATGGTTATGGGAGGATTAGATGTATTATAACACAGAATGCATTAACTGCATTAAGGGTGCCCATGCTAACCATTGTCCACCATCAAAAACAATGGGCACGTGAACATTGGAACTGGGCCTTAGAGCGGCTGGCTACCTGTGCGCCACTTATTTGATACTGTTTTCTCCATTGTTATATACTGCAAAATGTAAGTAAGAAAATATTATTTTTATGTTTTGGGTGAACTGGTTCTTTAATAAATCACTGATATTCAAACATCCCTGTTTCAGCAAATGTAGACCCCCTCAGATTGACAGCAAGTGAAGTAAATTATAGAAAGTACTTGAATTTTTTCAAATTCAATTACATTTTGACAGACGGTCAAACACTCACACAAAGAAAAACAACATGTTACCTTTGCAAGCAGGTCACAACACAGTCCCCTGGGCCCTGAACCTTTATCTCACTTCCAAGAAAATGAATATATGAACCAGACACACTAGTTACAGCGAAATGAGCCAAGTGATTTGTGTCACTAATTTTCCATGATGATGCGCTGTGTAACCACTAACAATAAACAGGCTTGTGTATGCAGGATTCATTGTATGGCTATAAAACATAGCAGAAATATTGCTGAAATTGCAGGCTATTCAACATATAAATACATGAATACATAAATAATAAATACATACATGTAAAATGGTAAAAACAAAAATCAGATACAAACAAAATAAATCTATCCGTTGGCATTAGCATGTTTACTTCTCTATGATGTGCAGTACTGTATGTATTACATTTGGATCCAAATGCAGCAAAACTGGGAGTAGTAGATTTCCATTGATAGAGATTACCTTAATCTTGCCACTAAAAATAGTAACTGTGACCTCTGACTTTGCTTGGAGAATTAAAAACATAGTGGAGTTTCATAGTGGAGCTTTGGAAAGATTAACCACAGTTATTACTGTGCTTCCAGCACAGTCAGTAATTTTGAAGATTTTGCAGATTTTAGAGGCAAAAGAATTCAACTGAAGGTAAAGGAATTGTGTTATTTTATCTAATGTACTAGGTTATATTTGGTTATTTTGATGTCATCTTCTGAGTCATGCCCTGAAGCTTGTATTGTCTGGTTTTGTCCTTTAATGTGTTCTGTCTCCCTATAAAATGGGACATTATTGAGCCAGCATTGCCTGACGTTATGTTGCTCAGGCTGAGTGTGTCCCTGTTTCCAGGGAACAGAAACACACATGCTGGAGGATGCATGAGTACTGCTGTTGAATGCAAGTGACACGTCAAACTCCTCTGTAAGTCTCAATACACCAGAACATGCGCAGTTAGTCTATGTTAGTCAGTCTTCACATGATGGTATTACTATAGTTTTATTCATTCTTTCACTCTAAACTGTAAATCAGAAGGGAAGGTTGCTTTCAAAATGTAATAGGTCACCGATTATTAGTTACCCTGTTAAAAAAATGTATGTAACTGTTGAAATTACTTCATCAAAGCGATGCAACTTATTACTTTTTGATTAGCCTCCTAAAAAATGTTTTAAACTGGGCAATAAACCTGAAAAGTCCTTAACATAAATATAAATCAAGCACAACAGTACTCAACGCTTATTACATAACTGCAGTTACATAATATATTACTCTTGAAAGGTGTAGCCTACTGAACAGGCACCAAGCAGAAGTTAAATACTGTTGAATTTCTAGCACTGAAAAGTGTTCTTGTCCGACAACATGACCACTCGCAGTACAAAGTCAAACAAGAGAACCAATCACAAGCTCAAAGAGTTCAACATTTAACGCACACACCGATGGGGTTATTTGTTCCAATAGCTTTGCTGACCTGCATTGTCCAGAAATTACAAAATTGGGCTTTAAACTGATGACTCATCCATTTAGTTAGTAATAGTGACAATTTAATGTTAAATGATGCATTAACCAGATTAACTGAACTGTCACAAGCTCTGTTCTATTTTTCTTTAACAAAACGATTTTACATATGATGTAATGTCTAATGTCTACAGTTCTTCCATACTGATTAGATTTCCCTCACCTCCCCTTGGTTTGGCAGACATTTACCACATTCGGCAGCCTCTAGCCTGTGTGGTAAACTGTCATTAGTGTTCACACAATCTAATTATTCACTTGGGCTGTGAGCAGTGTGTAATTTCTAATAATGAAATGTGTCTGCCTTCTGGCACTGACCTCACACTGTAGCACGGTGAATTAAATGATTTTCTCAAGGGCATCTTATTCCACTGCAGATTTACTTGTGAGGAATATACGCTTTAATTATTAGAAAAATAAGATAAAAAATAAAAACAACAGTTCCCCTTCTGGTGACACCAAGTTCGTTACAGTGATATCACACAAGGTCAGTAAAAAAGTTTCAAACAGCTGCTCAAAGAGTCAAGAATTTAAAATGTATGAAATCATTTCCTTTTGTGTTAATGTAAAATAATAGAACAAGATCATTTTTTATCTTGTAGAAGTTTTTTCTTTTATTCTACAGGAGTCTGTGCAACTCACACTTGCAGTCACATTTGTCAGCTTGTCTCCTGCCTGGCCTGTTTACAAAGAGCAGATCACCTCATTCCCCCACACATCCCTAAAACACCCTGCTGGATTACAGGAGGCAAGGGCGATGCACCCCAGGGGACAGCAGAGATTATTAGGCTAAAATATCCCATTGTTATCTTTTTTTTGTAGGATGGAGTTATTGATGTATTGTAATATTCTTTTCCAATCTTTCTGTCAGTGACTCAGATGTACACACTGTGGTATTAAAGTGAAGTCCTCATGAAAGCGGGTTGTGTCCTCTGTGCCTGCTGATTTGACAAGGCTGGCTACTGAATGATTGCACAGGCTCTAAGGACAGATACAAGTCATCAGGCCAAACAATTGTCCTTGGTATTAATATTTGTGCCCCTAAGAGGTGAGAGCTCTTTGCTTGTTTGTTTACATTTTTATAACCTACATAGGAAAAAAAATAATTAACATGTCAGTTTATTCTGGATTTGACAGGAATTTCTTCATCTAATCTTGGTATGTAATCAGTAAAGTGAACGGATGAGTGCATAAAGAGGCTGCAGGATGTTTTGTGTTATTCACCTTCAAAAGCACAAGCGAGACCTCATTGGTCTGCTTGTCTGTCACTAATGCAAAGACCTCCTCTTCGTTTCCAGACTCTAAACGGTAGTCCACCTGCCAGCTGTCTCCTCCTCGAACATCTGCATCGCCTGCCAACACAGCTGTTACTGTGGTTCCCACTGGAGTGTCCTCTGGGATGTGAAAGGGTCCATACTGATGGGGAGTAGAGGGATAATGTATGACCAGTGAGCAGAAACCATTCATTTATTGACAAGACACTCATGTAAAATTTCATTTAGGTGTATTATAACGTAATTTCATTTAATGCGCAATTCTTTTATCATAATTTATTTAGAGGTTTACAAACAGTTAGCTCATGTCAAGCCCAGACGATGGGGCACTCCTCAAGAAAAACCACTTCCAAAAAGGAGAAAGAGATTTCATTATCAAGCCAATAAATGTAATCATTGTTTTATTTATAATATATCTTATTGATACTTGCTGTAATTAAATGAATTAAAATATCACATGTTTATTGACAGCAACTGATCAATGATGGATTTTGGGCAGAATACTGAACTTGTATTTTTAGAATTTCTACAATTCTCATAATAATATATCTGAAAATATTTTCCTGAATGTATAAACACACAATTTGTGGAAACGATCTCAACAAATCTAATAGTCAATACAATCACATATGCTGGATGCAGGGCGATTTAGTAAATAAACATATCGTCCTCAGCTGTCTCTGCATTAACAGCTGCATTAAATATTAAAGAATATCATTAAATATTTATGTCAGTAACAGGCAGCTGCATGTTTTGCCAGACAGCTGTTGCAATCTGGTTGCTAATAAAAAGAGATTACTGTGTGTGAATTTTCTGTTGCGACTATATTTGTCTACATGGGAGCATACGTTTGCTCTCCTGGTGTTAGCTGACCTTTATTCACACACCTCTGTGTGTTTAAACAGCCGTCGGCTGACCCCAGCCCTGTCACCACTCGCCTCCCACATCACCCCCTATAGCACTGCTTTCACATCGCCATGGAAAAAGCTGCACTACTCGGGCTTGACCCGCTCAAGAGCATTTTCCACCTCTGCCTTTGTGTGTATGTGTGTGTGTGGGGGGTGTGATTATCTGAGAAAATGTGCACATTTGTTGTAACAGTTTGAAAATGAGCATTCAGAAATGTTTGAAAGACACGTTTGGATGGAGCAAAGACAGAGTACAATGATGACAGATTTTCTATCAAAAATATATATTGTATAATTTTTTTATTAAGTCTGTATTGAACAACACTGTCTCCTGTTATTGGTCTGGAAATTCAGGCCACAGCTTTACAGCCAATTTCAACTGTTAAATTTAAGGGCCATCCCTTCTCTCCTCGCTCAAAATAAAATGTTTCTTCACAGCTCACAATGTCTGTGCAGTCTTTCATTGTCACTTTGCTCTGACAAAAAGCACAGCTAGAGACTGGTTCCCATTATCCCAGCATGATGGCTCTCCCACGTAGCTCCCAGCAAAATGCTTTTTCTCTCTTTTATTATGTGGCACATGTGGGTGGACACGAGGGGATTTTCTGTAACTACCTATCTTTAGCCCTTTCTTCTTTCCTACCAGCAGCTATACCAAAAGGAAGGAAACCATTGTACTATTTTGTGCTGGGCTTGTGACTGCAGTGTTGATGATGCCTTGCTCATCTGGATCACTATAAGATAAAAATAGATATCGGATGTACGTAGCTCCGAAAGATGTTTCATTTTTGTAAATATGTAAAGAAAACCTAAATGAGGATATAATTAAAAATGAAAGTACATCATTTTTGCATTTACATTTGCAGTTAAAGTTGCCTTACATTTAATTAAATGTTAATGTTAATCTGGAATCACTTGCAAAATTAAAATTGTTCCTGTCTGCTAAAGCATTGGAGGTTATAGTACATGTTTTCATTTCCTTTCACCTGTGGCTGACTCAAAATACAGCAGTGAGACTCCTCATTGGAACCAAAAAGGGAGACCAGTGGGGCCTCTCTTCACTGGTTACCAGTGAAGTACAAAACTGATTTTGATGTTCTCTGTGATAAGCTCTTCAGATGGTACCTTTACGTTTATCTTTTACCAATTTTGTTTTTGTGCATTTATGCCTGCATTAGACAGCTGTATATTTCCCTTTAAGTACTCTCTTTTATTGATTCATACCAGTAAGATCCTCAGATGAAGAACCACCTGATGTAGAAATTTCTGTAAATTTGTAATAGCTAAGATGACATTGATTCTTATCCCACTGTGTAGTCATAATGTAGATTTGGCTATAAATAAATGAATGGAAACTAGACTCCAAAGAAAGCTTTATCAGATTAAACTCTAAAAACATTGTCCACTTAGAGTACAAAGAATGGAATAAAACTCCTCCAATAACATGGTGCCATCATTATAAGCCTGAGATTAGAGGGCATATCTAGTTCCCTGCCAGGAAAATTAGATCAGTGACCTGCAGAGCGGATTCACAGCCTATAGTCCAACAGCCACTCGTTATGGTCTGTATGTTCTCTCCATATCACGTCTTGAACAGGACATATGTGCTTGTCTGAACATGTGTGCTTTTACCTCATGCTGGGAGAAGACTGGTGGGTTGTTGTTCTCATCATGTACCGTCACAACCACAGTGCAAGAACTGTTGAGACCTGCCAGGGACATCACAGCTTTGGTTAATGACTCAGAGTCAGACCATTGCACACATAAAGTGAGGGAACAGAAAGTACCTTGCCTTTCTTACACCCTGATCTGTGTCATGCATCTGGCATCATCTGCCTTCCCAGAGGCTAGCGTACATACAGTGCCTTGCGAAAGTATTCGGCCCCCTTGAACTTTGCAACCTTTTGCCACATTTCAGGGAAATTTATTGGATATTTCAAACTTTTTTAACAAATAAAAAACTGAATAATTGGGCGTGCAAAATTATTCAGCCCCTTTACTTTCAGTGCAGCAAACTCTCTCCAGAAGTTCAGTGAGGATCTCTGAATGATCCAATGTTGACCTAAATGGCTAATGATGATAAATAGAATCCACCTGTGTGTAATCAAGTCTCCGTATAAATGCACCTGCACTGTGATAGTCTCAGAGGTCCGTTTAAAGCGCATAGAGCATCATGAAGAACAAGGAACACACCAGGCAGGTCTGAGATACTGTTGTGGAGAAGTTTAAAGCCGGATTTGGATATAAAAAGATTTCCCAAGCTTTAAACATCCCAAGGAGCACTGTGCAAGCGATAATATTGAAATGGAAGGAGTATCAGACCACTGCAAATCTACCAAGACCTGGCCGTCCCTCTAAACTTTCAGCTCATACAAGGAGAAGACTGATCAGAGATGCAGCCAAGAGGCCCATGATCACTCTGGATGAACTGCAGAGATCTACAGCTGAGGTGGGAGACTCTGTCCATAGGACAACAATCAGTCGTATACTGCACAAATCTGGCCTTTATGGAAGAGTGGCAAGAAGAAAGCCATTTCTTAAAGATATCCATAAAAAGTGTTGTTTAAAGTTTGCCACAAGCCACCTGGGAGACACACCAAACATGTGGAAGAAGGTGCTCTGGTCAGATGAAACCAAAGTCGAACTTTTTGGCAACAATGCAAAACGTTATGTTTGGTGTAAAAGCAACACAGCTCATCACCCTGAACACACCATCTCCACTGTCAAACATGGTGGTGGCAGCATCATGGTTTGGGGCTGCTTTTCTTCAGCAGGGACAGGGAAGGTGGTTAAAATTGATGGGAAGATGGATGGAGCCAAATACAGGACCATTCTGGATGGAAACCTGATGGAGTCTGCAAAAGACCTGAGACTGGGATGGAGATTTGTCTTCCAACAAGACAATGATTCAAAACATAAAGCAAAATCTACAATGGAATGGTTCAAAACTAAACATATCCAGGTGTTAGAATGGCCAAGTCAAAGTCCAGACCTGAATCCAATTGAGAATCTGTGGAAAGAACTGAAAACTGCTGTTCACAAATGCTCTCCATCCAACCTCACTGAGCTCGAGCTGTTTTGCAAGGAGGAATGGGCAAAAATTTCAGTCTCTCGATGTGCAAAACTGATAGAGACATACCCCAAGCGACTTACAGCTGTAATCGCAGCAAAAGGTGGCGCTACAAAGTATTAACTTAAGGGGGCTGAATAATATTGCACGCCCAATTTTTCAGTTTTTTATTTGTTAAAAAAGTTTGAAATATCCAATAAATTTCGTTCCACTTCATGATTGTGTCCCACTTGTTGTTGATTCTTCATAAAAAATTACAGTTTTATATCTTTATGTTTGAAGCCTGAAATGTGGCAAAAGGTCGCAAAGTTCAAGGGGGCCGAATACTTTTGCAAGGCACTGTACATCCTCTGTCAACGGAGATACAACGCACTAAATCACAAAGCTAATGCCCTTTTGTATATGACATTAATTATAAAACGTTTTTTAATCACTGATTTCTTTTCTCTCTTCTCTTGCTGTAATTAGCACCTAAGTGTATTATCATTATGACAGCTTGCAGCTTGATTGCCAATGATTTCTTCATTGTGACTGACATTTAATGGACCATGTGACTGTGTGTAGTCTACGCCATCAACAGTTCAATAACATGCATGATGATGGGGAACTGAGCCCTGAAAACTACATTCTAGGGATGCACTACTAACATATGCTCTTCCTAAAATGTGACTGTTCTAATTTGCAGCTCCAAAAGTGAGCCACAGAAACAGCACAGCTACTGTGCATGTCTGCAGTATGTATTTTGTTAGCGTCTTGGACTTGGTTCCTGTTTGTTACTTTAATGTTGAAAGGGTTTCCTGTTTTGTATCATCTCACCTGCCTCAGCTTTAGTCCAGTCCTTGATTACCACTCATTGCCTTCACCTGTTACTCATTGTCTCCTATACTCAAGCTTTTATATTCTCCTCACTTCCTTTGGTTCATCTGCTCACTATAGTCTGCTTGTTCTTGTAGTTCCTGTGGCCCTGTCTTCTGTTTGATTTGCTGCTTTGAAAATCTTGGATTTTTTCCCCCCTTGCCTCACCTATGGACTTTGGACTCACCTGCCATCTTGGATTTTTGGTTTGTTCCTTTGGTTTTGTTAAGCTTACTTTTGTGTGTTTTAGTCCCTGACTGAACTGTTTAGTTGTAGTTTTCTGTAGATGTCTGTTTTGCTTTGTCAGGTTGAGGTCCTTGGTGGTTTTACTTGTCTCTCTGTTTCATATCTCAGTCTGTCTATATTTGGCTCCTCCCCTAGCCCAAACCTGACACTTGTTTTTGTGCATAACAAGTGTAGTGTGAGGAGGCAGGAAAAATAATGTGGGAATAACTTTTAAACTGGGACTCAGACTAGTTTGTCAATTAACTTCTGTAAATCAATAAAAACAATAGCTTTTCTTGTAGTGTATTCCTACTAACAATGTTGTACTTTGACAACAGGAAATGGCAGTATGTTCAAATAGTCAGATATAAAATGGCATTTATGCATTGAGACTTGGCAAAGTTAAAAAAGGAAAAAATTACACTGAGGAAGGAGTACGAGTATTTTGTATCGGTCCTTGGTTACCTTTGGCATCCTCAGCAGTAATGGTGAGGGTGTACTGTGGTGCTGTGCCCTCCATACTGTCTGCTTGGACGGAGATCACACCTGAGTCCCGGTCCACTCTGAACAGGGCACGAGGACTCTCTGGAATTTGTCCAACTAAGCGGTAGAATATCCGCACATTGTCTGTCTTGGGATCATCGTTATCGGCTGCCTGTACTGTCAGGATTTCCGTCCCTGTGAAACGTGTATACCAGTAAAGAAATGCAAATGTACATAATCTGAAAGTCAAATGATCATTTAAGATACTTCAAGTTTTCTCTTGAAATGTTTTTCTTGCTGAATTTCTAATCTTCTACTTTGTTAAATCTCAAACTTTGCAGACTTTCAGTTAGAACTTTTTTGAGTGTCTATAATAGAACCTAGTGTTCTTCTTTCTGCAGTATTCAACAGTAAACTAACAGTAACGAAGAGCAAGGGGGAAGCGGAGTACAAGTTTTCTCATGCATTCCCCTCAGTGAAGCAATTTAGATTAACATTGCCTTGCATTATTCATTTCCCAGAATCAACCGTTTTAAAGCATCAACAAAAAAGCTTTTACTCAGGGACCTGATGTATCAACAGACCATTTGTTTGATTATGGATTGGTGTGACTGTGCTTTCCCTGGTGTTCTGGCAAAAATCCTAATCTACTTTCACAAAATATTTGGCACACTCGGCCCTTTCATCACTACAACCTTCCATCGAGCCAGTGCTTCCTCTACCTTGTGAAACAATATGCCCATTATGGAGTAAACATGACGGGATTATTCATTGTGGTGTTATATGGCCCCTTAATTCACCTATTGTATAATTAGATAAAAAAAAAAAAAGTGTTGGCACTTCATTGAGTATTGAGTTGGCAACATTTTTTTTTAATGAAAACATTGTGAATATTGATACCACAGGATATTATCTTAAGGAAATATTCTACCATAAACTATTTAGGGCAGTATTTTCAGACATGCAAGTGACTCATTTCAACAAGAGTCAAGAGTAACCGTAACACCTAACATTCAAGAATCTGTCAGTTACCTCGAGCAGCTAGTTCCTTGACCACGGTGTGATACTGTGCCTGTGGAAAGGTGGGTCTGTTATCATTGGCATCACCCACCATCACCCTCAGCTCCACAGGCTTGGCAATCTCTCTGCCATCTGGGCGCTCAACCACAATGCTGATGTGAAACTGAAAAGGCAAAAGGAGAAACAATGTTTGCCTCCAGAGTATTGGAGAAGCTGGGCATATCTGACCAGCTAGGCAGGTGTGGTAAATTTATATTGTAATCTCAACTTTAAATCCTATAAACCATATGTCAAATATTTATGTCAAACTCGGACCTGCGGTCCAAATCTGGCGCACGGTGTAAGTATATTTGGCCCGTGAGATAATTTTAAATGTTTATTAGAGCTGGTCCACCAGTATATATCGCATGCACCGCTAATATTGCAAATCCCAGAATGCTTTGCTAGTGCGTTGGAGCATCAATCAAGACCTGCAAGCACCTTCTGTTGACATTAGCAACCTTATGGTACCAGTCACCTGGGGCAAATATAGTCCATTAATCCCAAAAATGGCCAAACGAAAGATGGAAAACAGGAGCTTTCAAGACAGGTGGGAGGAAGATGATCTGTTAATGTAAAGGACAGACCTGTTTGTCTTGTGTGCAGAGCCAAAGTGGCTGTAACGAAAGAATATAACATAAGAAAACACTATAAAATAAAACACCAAGACCAGTACAAGGACCAGGACATGAAGCAGAAGCTCCAGAAGGTAGAGGACATGAAAGGTCTGGTTTCACGGCAGAAAATGTTCACCAAACAATAAGAAACGAATGCCACTGTAGTTTTTTTGGGGTTTTTTTTGTTTTGGAAATATGATTTCTCGTGTGTTTAGAATAGTTTTGCTTGTTCCAAATTCAGTGTTTAAGCAACTTGTTTGTTTCCATATGAAAAAGTTTAGCATATATCTGGAGAGAAGGGAAAACGTTCTGTTTTATTCAATATTTCAATAGTCTGGCCCACAACTTTGTCCCAGTTTTTAATTTTGGCCCACTGTGTATTTGAGTTTGACCCTCCTCCATGACTCTTTTATTCATGTAGTATAGTAGGTAATCAAGTTTCCCTGCAGTAGACTGGGAGACTGTTCAGTGCATGATTTGACATCATTCTGAATTTCTAGCAGGCACTACATTAGTACATTCACAGATTTTTGGAGTGATAAGTATGCACCCAAAATCTTTCAATCACTAGGGATTGCAAAACAGCAAAAGGTTTATGCAGCTTATTTTATGTCCTGAAATTTAAATTTATCCTGTCTTATTTCTGTCAACTAACTACATGCGTTTAACAATCGCATTCAGTGACCTACAGCAGCTCAGTCTGTGTTCTTTGGCCACTTGAACATTGGTGCCAGAATGTACTGCTCACTGAGCCAGTTAAAGCTCTCAGGAACTTGGGTCATGTGCAAAAGTAAATTTCAAACAAATAGACTTCAATATGTAGTCATACCACAAATTATAATCCTTCTCTTAGCCTAAAGTGAGCAAGTTTTAAAATGAAGCCTTTATGGTTATAAGGATATATTTGAGGAACAGAGCTGTGCTTTTCAAGTTGTGGATATCTTCTTTAGTTACCCTTATTCACTATTAAAATAGATTGTGCTGAGTGTTTTGCTTTGTTGCAGTAATAAATACCAGGGCACCATTAATGAAACCATTAAGATCATTAAACTCATCTTCAGATTTTGAATTCCCAGTCTGGCTCCCAGTTGCTGAAGTGAATAAAATCCACTGAAAATGACTAAAAAAAAAAAAAAAAAAAACTAACACAATGTACTCTGTGTACTGTATCACATGTAAAGATTATAAGACAACACATACACACACACATTTCTCGTTACATGTTCAAACGTTTCTTTCAGGAAGGAACGGTATAGCTACAGCCCCAGTGATTTTAACCTAACCATAAACTGATATTTATTATTAGGTGTTGGAGATGTTAAGCTTGCAGATGTACAGACCTGGTCTTGTGTCTCTCTGTCTAGGGGGGCGTTGAGATAAATGACTCCTTCTCTGCTGATCGTGAAGAGCATCTCTGGAAACTCCCCCTCCAGCCCGTAAACTGCCTGGCTTCCACTCCATTTGACCTACAGTACGAAAGCACACACATATACACACAACAACGACTTTGATATCTTGTTTTGTCAACATTATAAAAATAAATTGTAAAGTGGTTTCAATCTGAGTGCAGCACGAGAATTAAAATGCACTGTGCTGCAAACCTAAAAAGCTCTGCAGGTTGTATAAGTACAAAGCCAAGCTATCATTAGTTTACATGATATGGAGTCATCCAAATGTACTGACACTGATGTGGAACAGAGAGCACAGCCAAAACTAACTGTGCAGGCCGAAGGGGATTTTCCACTCTGCTTTACAGCCCTTGACAAATGGACTGAAAAGGCCCCTAGTAGCTATCAGACGGCACCCAACAAGGAGAGGAGCCCAGCTGCAGCACAACTGATGCACACCCAGGACACGTGTGTCTCTTCAGCTCACTGTCACACACTGTTCCCTTGTTTTGGAGATGGCTGCCCAAACGTTATGCTTTTGTATACACAAAGCCACTTCACACAGCTGGCTGCCTGTCCATGTTATGGAGTGTTTCCAGACCTCAGAACTTTAAAGAAATATGTTTAAAGACATGATTAATGATTACTTTATATAAGGTCTGATACAAAACATCTAGTGGATGAAGTCATCCGTTTTGTTGTTTTGCTCCTGTCAGTGTTTGAATTTTCAGAGCACGTTCATGTCTCCTGACACAGTAGTGTCTGTTTGAGCTGCGTCAGGAGTGCCTTGTGTCTGTTTGGGCTTTTAATTAGTACCCAGTTCCTGAATTACAAAAAATTTCAATGTTTTACATTAAACAGAACATGAAATTATGAAACGGTACAATGTCAGAGTTGAAACAATTCGTTGATTAACTGATGAGTCTACAGAAAACAGCCTGCAAACGGTGTGATAATCAGAGCATCATTTCAGTCCATTGTCGAGCAAAAATCCCAAAAGTTTGCAGGTAACAGCTTCTTCCTGTAATAAAATGACTATGTAATTTGTCCCAGCATGTTGTTATGACCAACTGTTACATAGTGATTGTGATAATTTGACCCAAGCAAAGGAGGAAGCCAGATGGTGTAGTATAGGTGTGTTTCCACCAGAAACTTCCTGGTACTTTACATTCCCACGAACTAAAGTCTAAGAATGTTCTCTGGGGTAAAAGCCCCTCGAGTGCGTTAATTGAATTTCCACAGCAGGGTCAAAACCCTGGGAAGTTTAAACAAATTGCTCTAGCGTATCAAAAGCGTGACCATCAGCAGTGGGGTTGTAAAAACACTGGGTGTAAGATTCTGCATGGTATTTGACCAGTCAGCGATGTCCAGCACTGCAGGCCTCACCCCAACAGTTCTTGGACCTCCCCGGACTAGGGACTATTTTTAGGTAGTAGACGTAGAAAAAAATTTAGACCAGTTTTAATGTTAATACATTTTATTGAGATACTGATATCTCGGTATTGAGATAATCAGCATCCAAATCTAACATCTGATATAAATTGGTCTAAAAATTAGTGTGCATTTTGAATGAATGGTAGAACAAAGGTTTTAAAGGAGCTGCCTTGTTTTGGGTTTAAACCTGCAATAACTGCTAGCAGATAAACAAAAATATACTGTATATCATTTGGAGTCACCATTCTGGCCACCTTGCAATTCACATCCTTTTACACCAGGATCTAAACCAACCTCTAAGGGAAATACCTGTATGTGCCATTGTAGCTGCTAAATGCTACATTTTCTTTGCTAAATTTGTCTGATGTTTGGTGCTGGGCTGGTATAGTTGTGTACAACATGTAGATCTGAGCAGAGCTCTCTGTGTGTCACTATATGAGCAATTGTTTGCACATTACTCACTTGATAAATTGTTGACATAAAAGTTTTGATATTACTATCTTTAATGCTGGTATCCACATCACCATGAGATCAGCTCTGATGACTAATATTAGCTGAAGGGCTGTGCTGGTACAAGTGTTATTCCTGATGTTGAATATTGATTACAAGGACGTGATGAAGGTCTAATGGGGCTCAAACTAATCCTGCAACAAAGATGTCATTTAACAGTGAAAACTCGTATTTCAATGCTATTAAGAGCCTCGACTCATTCATTTAAAGGCTCTGAGGCCCCTCATCCACTCCAAAGTCTCAATAGATTGCATTACCAAGTTCAAGCAGTTCTGCTGATTGCATTACAGAATCTTAGTTTTAGGCAGGCAATCAGAAACATGCAACAGATAGCAGACTGAAATTGACATGTATCCCCAGTGACATAAACGTACTGACAGTTGCCTGGATTCCATATTTAAAATTACAGCCTGAGTTTGTTTTAATCTGACTGCTGAATCAATCAAATTTATAACAGCAATCTAAACTTATCTTTATAACAGGTTTTTACACAGAAGAATGATGGCAGAAATACATAATGTACTATGCTAAGCAGCAAACTGATTTCAAAATTCATCAAAATATCATCATCACCGCAAACAATGTCAGCACAAGTAAAAGACAACATTTGTTGCAGTTGAGTGGATGTTGACAGAACTGCTCAATTTATCTGAGACAGCAGGGGAGGTGAGATCCATAGAGTGGGTCTTTGAACATGACTATCTCTGTGTGTCATAACAGTGGTTAGTCCCACCACCCACTGAGCACAGCAATACAGTCACTCAGCGTGGGCAAAATGAGGCTTCCCCCAAAAAAACCATCCATGTTCACTTAATCTAGTTTTGTGTGATTTACAGAAGATTCTACACAGGGTAAAATGGGACAGTGTAAATTAATGGGTTTCATATACTGTAGATTACTGTAGTTCAGTGATGGAACAATATAAGCTTCATTTCTCATTCTTTTAACAAGTTTTTCATTAGAAACTAAAGTGAATACACAGAGGGAATCTGCTCTGTGAAATATTTTCACATAATCCAATTTACATAAAGAAACACAAATGCTATTCATTGATGTTAAAATTAAAATAAATAATCTTTTTAAAGTGACCAAACTATGTATTATAGCATCGGTTTATAAGTATTAAACTGCCTTTCGAAAATATGACCAAAAAAAAAAACAAACTAAAAATCTAATCTGCCTACACTTATGAATCCACACATTTTCAGTGGGTGGAAGAGGCTGTTAGAACAGGAGAAACAAGAGGCTGAGGGCGAGTGTGGGGGAGGTGGGAGAAAACAGGAGGAGGGGGAGGTATTGTAGTGTAGCCATTAGCCACAGTGACTCTCTGAACCTGTGCATTGCATTTACAAGCCTCTTTGAATCAGCCACCTTTGTTTCCAGATGCACTTCTCACCAGTTGATGAATACTTTTTTTTGCCATATGCACATGCTGTACATTTATAACAATGCTCCCAAAGGATAGTTATCCTCATAATGAAAAACTGCCAGTGTGAGTTTTTTTTCCTTCTATGCATTACAAAACCTCTGAGTTATTTGTGAACATGTAGTTGATATGGCTAAAATTTAAACAACCAAAAGTTTAGACAAGAACAGGGACCAACACAGACATAGTGATGTGATTCTTTAAGAAGTTGTGAGGAAATCTTTAAACAGAATTGACATTACAGTGCCGCAATAATGCAGGGCAGTGGTGTTAACGTCTATGAAACTGTAACACCTTCAGAGTTGGTCAGGAATTTAGTAATGACTGGCTCTGAGAGCTTTTTAAGGAATTGCATTCAAATTGTCCATCTGAAAATGTGTCCGTCCTCACAAAATCGCCATGGTTACTGTTGTAGTTTTCTTCTTTATTATGTAAGGCTGCAACTGAATAATAATTCCTTTCTTAACTGCTCTGGCCAATTATTTTCTCTGTGGCTTACTTATTAAATTGGCATATGAAATGCTGGAAAATAAAGAACAATATTCATCACACTTTCCCACAGTCCAAGATGATGTTTCCAGATATGTTTTTTTTTACAACTCAGAGTTTCAAACCTAAATCTGTTCAATGATATAAAACAGAAAATCAGCAAACAGCGAATCCATGTGTGACATGCTTGCTTGAAAGATGACTTTAAATTACTGACTGATTATCAAATTAGCTGCAGATTATTTTTTATTAAATTTTTAAAATAATTTTTTTAATAGATCAGTGAATAAATTAGATATTAAGTAGACACACGTATGCCCAAAATTTAAACAAAGTAATATGTTGTACAATATGTGAAGTGTGTTTTAGAGTGGATTTTGCCATTAAGCTCCTAAGTTTCCATCACTATGAGCGGCATGCTCATAGTGATGGAAGTGTTTGGTGGGTGTGTGATTATGGGAGTTAAAGTGACTCAGTCAGGAGGTAGCCTGAAAGGATCCATGGCATTTCAACAGCATCAATAATTTATTATTTGGTCGCATAGGAGGACCCAAGAGGCACTAAAAAGAGCAACTGGCAATGTGATGCCACTTTACTCAGTCCAGGCTTTTGACAGACTTTTATTGTAACATGATATAACAGTTGGAACTGCATTAACAATAAAATCAACTTTTACCCCACGCTGTTTGCATGATTTATGATAAAAATTAAAATAAAAGTGGTTTTAATGATGGTGAAAGTACATGTTTAAGTGTTTCAGAGTGAATACATGTTCACTGAGGTCTTGCTGCTTCACCTGTGATATAGGGATGGGGTAGGGGCCTGGAAGGTTCTCCTGAAGTCGTACAGGGTCAGGTGAAGCCCAGGTGTTTCCAGTCACCTCAACAGTAACGATGCCGGTGGTGAAGAAAGCGTTCGCCTTTCCAGCCATGTCCTTCACCATCACTGAGAGCTTATAGCGGCCACACATCTCTGGGTCCAGAGCAGGGGCTCCTGTTGATTGCAATGGGATGGATACCAGAACATTTTGTGTCACAATTATTCTTTCAGCTTAATTTCAGTACTAACCTCTTTTACAAAGACACCTAAAGAATATATTGTGCTATTTTTGATAACATAATTTTGTATGCATTCATACAGCATCATGTCAGAATCATAGTGTAATCAAGTG